GATCTGCGTTGTACCAGAAACGTGTCGAGTTCGGGAGTCGGTTACGGTCAAGGAAGGATTAGCACCCTTGAACCGCCCTTTCGGTACCAATTAATTTATCGGTTGTCTTAATTGCAAGAATTAAAAAATTTAAATTTAAATTTAAAAACCCGATTCACATCACTTACCTTTGATTGGTTGGAAAAAAATGAAAATATTAAAAATAATAATAACAAAAAATGAAAATTAAATACATCCAAAAAAGAAAATAATAATACTAATAATAATAGTGAGTAAATAAATAAGATACCAAGATAATATTGTAAATAAAAAAATAAAAAGAAGTAAAAAAAATAATAATAATAAAATAACTAAATAGAGATAAGATGATGATGAAAATACGATAAAACAAACTAAAGTGAAATTGAAATAAAAAAATGAAATAAAACATTAATTATTGTAAAACGGAAAAAAATTAACCAAAAAGTATATACATATATATAGGTAAATGAATAAATAATTAAATAAATAATTAAATAAATAAAAGGGACCAAAATGAAAAAATAATAAATCTGAAATCTAAATTAAAACATTAAATTCTATGGCCAAAATGAAGAAGATACGGCTTACAGGGACCGCGGCTGTAGTTTACCCGCATGTAAAATACGCAAATACCCCCAATTGAAACTACGTCGTTTCACCAGCTGTATAAAAGACCCATATGAGAGGGAGATAACGCCCAACCCTCTCATTTTTCCTTTCTCACTCTCTCTCTACTAAAGAGAGAAAAGTTTTCTCTCTGGCTTCTCTCTAGAGCCTAACTGCCGGCCAAGATCCGGTCACCGCTCCGTGTCCCTTCCGTCGCGCCGGCCACCATACCGGCCACCGCCGGCGGTGGCCGGAAAAACCACTTAGCCCGAAACACTCACCTTGTCACTCTAAACCCCGATCCGAAGCCCGTTTCCCCTAAAGGGACCCCCAACGGCGTAGATCTACGCCTAAAGTTCGGGTCTTTTACCTTAAAACCGATGCCCTTTGGTTTTCCGATAGCTTCTCCGAGGCCTTTGGTTGGTACTTCGATTTTGTGTATTTGGTTGTGTTCGACCTTTGTTGTTGGTCGATTTGTTTACTGTTTTTGTGGGTTCTCGGTTGTTGGTATTTTGGTGGTTTTTGTGTTGATGGTCTTTGTGATGTTATGGGTTCTTGGTTTCCCGTGGCCGATGTTCTCGATGGTTGGTTTGTGATGGCTCTGTGTGTGGTGTTCTCGATGGGTTATCTCTGTTCTGTGGTTGATGGTACGGTGGGTTTGAGCCCTCGGCTTACTGTGATCCCCCCTCCTAGTAGTGGCTTGGCCGTGGGTTTTTATAACCCCCACCGGCCGTTGAGAATCCCGGATATTGTGGAGTGCTCTGTTCGTGGTTGACCGACCATCCCAGGATGGGTCAGTCCCGGGATAACGGCCGGCCGTTTCGCCCATGACCCTTGGACTCCCGTGCGGCGCGGTGACTGAACATGTTTTAGGGTTCCCAAACCCTAAACTCCAACAGGCTGGATCAGGCCTGTCCTACGGGCTGGAGCCGTGACTGTGTTGGACTAAAAAAATGGACCCTGAACTTGGACCTGGAAAAGACCAAAACAATAAAAATAAATAATAATAATAATATATATATACATAAATATTTTCAAAAACATAATATATAAATTTTCAAAATGTTTTTTTAAACTATATAATATACAAATGTTTTCAACATGTTTTCAAAAAAAAATATTATATAAGTTTTCAAAAACGTTTTAAAAACTATATAATATATAAATGTTTTCAAAATGTTTTCAAAACTATAATATATATGTTTTCAAAAATGTTTTCAAAAACTATATATATATAAGTTTTCAAAATGATTTTAAAAATTATATATTATATATATTTTCTAAAATGTTTTTTTTAAACTATATATTATATAGTTTTAAAAACTATATATTATATACGTAGTTTCAAAATATGTATATATATAAATATGTAGGTACATATAAAGGGAAAAAAAATATGTCGACGAAAATTAGTGTCTACACAATTTTTTTCAGCTTCTTAATTTGAGTTAATAATTATGTTTTATACATGCATTTTTTTACTAAAAATAAGTTGTTTGAGAATATTTTTGCGTTTCAAATAGATTTAGACTAAAAGTATTTTCATAAGCATTATCAAATGGCCTCGTATAAGTGTTGGCTTCTAAATTCTATTTCCTTCAATGTTCTAAAATGTTTATTAAGGATGACAGGCGGGTACAAATTCGTGAATTTCACACCGCACCTGTTCCAATTGGAGAGGGGATATGTACAAGTTTAATGGGTAGTGAGCGAGTGTAGAGGTAAAAAGTCATACACTTCATGGGTAGTGGGCATTTGATGAGTTTGAAACCTTATCCACCACACATCCGACCACTCCGTATCTGCCCACCCCACATCCGCTCGTCCACTAACTACCCACTATATAAATTTTAGATCATTATGAATCTAGGTATAATTTTAAAGACTTTTATGTAAATCTTAAGATTTTATAGGACATGACTTGTAATTTAACCAAATGGATGTGTTCGTTTTATGTTTTGTTGCTTATGTAATATGTGAAGTTGCTGCCAGACGAGTATAGGTAAGTACAAGTGAGTATGGGATGGGTCGTGGTATCTAGTTAAATACTATGTGTGTGGTAGAGTTGAGAATGTACCTGTGTGTTGGTGTAGAATTAAAAATTTTATCCGTTGTGAGTGTTAGATAAGTGATAAATATAAAAATATTAAGCAAGTAAAGGGATAAGGAAAGGTATATGTGCACTCGGCCTGTCCGTTTATCATCTTAAATTGTTCATTGCATCATTGGGTACCAACCGATTGTCATACATCTATTGTGCCTCACCATCATAAGCCCATCCATTTACCCCATCCCATCCCATCCATGTCCATGATGAAATTCAAGACATTTTTCAAGCACCCGTGGCTCATTCCACAACACCACCTAGGGGGAGCAACGACAACACCCCATGGTTCGACAACGACTAGCTAATCCGGTACAATAATTGGTGCCATCTCGGTTAGATGCCGGGCCACAAGGTCATTTTCTCACTTCGAAACCCCGAGGATAATAGCCACGTGACGAGGATCGAAAGTCAATGTGATCATCTGATACAAGGGGTCAACCAACGACTGATGTTTCGAATTCGATCACAGAAAATCTCGATTCATTCGAAAAGATGGAAAGGTGGAAGAGAATATCCGAGGCTCAAAAGTAACGGCCAACCCCCCCACCCCCCAATTGGATGTGGATTCTCTCTAGTATTATTGAGGAGGAGATGGACCTGTATTGAAAGGAATATTCACCATGTCTGGTAAGAAACGGTCATTTTTTTCCGTAGGATTCCTTCTTATCAAACCTGTATTTTCTAATCAATTAAGACCCCACATGTAATGTAGTTTGAGAGGGGTTTACCCTGCAAATTGGGTTATAAAAACAATTTAAGTTGAGGTATATTCTACTACCTGGTGGACGTAAACCGGAAGCATATGACATGTTCACGAATGAGGCCAAGATGGGAGATTAGAAGTGGCTGTGATAGACTAATAGTTATAGGCATTTCATTTCATTTTTTTTTTGTGTTAATGGAGAATTACAGTCGGTGGTTCAAGTGAACCGAAGAAAATAATACATGATGCAAGGTTGAGTGCGAGAGAGAGTTTCAATCTTTTTTCTCGTCACACACAATGAATTTTATATTACTCTTTAGGGCCGAATAGATTTGACTCTAACAGATTACACAGCCTACCAGAGATCGAGAGATTGTAATTAGTCAGAGGTTATAGATCTTCAGAGAGTATGATCATTGATCAGTGGTAGAGATAGTGAATGAAGCCGAGATTGGTTAGGGAATTAGGAAGGGGGATTGTTTGTACATCCACTTGATTTCTCATCTCGGCAATGCCTTTGCCACGCCTTTCTTTGGCGTGCCGCATGCAAAAGGCACGCCTTTAGGGATCTTGGCGGTGCCAATTTTGAAACGCACTTCACCGCCGGTCAAAGTAAGGCAGCTCCCCACACTGCATGCTTTTTGTATTTGGAATAATATAAATATATTTGTAATTATTTTAATTTTGTATTTGAAATATAGAAAAAAAAGTATAAATATCAAATACGAATATTTGAAAAGAAATAAAAGTATAATATCGCATAAATTGTATCGGATAACATAACTATAACCCATCAATCTACCAGCGTCTGTTCGCCGCAGACATATTCTACTGATATATTTAATGTAAAACTTTTGATTTTAGTAAAAAAAAAAAAGCAGAGGTTTTGTAGGTTTGAAAAAAAGTGATTCTCGTAGTTTTTTTTAATGTGAACCTTTAACTAACGTTTTTTGTCGTAGATTGTTACGGAATCGAAACATGCAACGAATGGGAAGTTTTGCAATGGATATGCATTTGTAAAGAACAAATTCCAAACGCAAATAATAAGCATAAATTTCCATCATTTTTCTCGAGCCTTTCTTGACCTGCATGATCATAAGCCTACTCAAGGAAGGTGTATCTGGGCTAGCTGGATCACAAATTCCCCACCCACACACAATCATTCTAGCATCTGATGACGTGTCTTTACACGTGGACGAATACGTTGGCTTCGCACGTGGGAGGAACGATTCCGGGCCACATGTGACGTTCGAGGAATTAAAACGAAGCAGCCTCTGTGCCCAGATAACATCGTCCCCTCGTAACACCTGGTTGCTACTAGCAATATGGATGAGAAGTCCACATTGTTTTACACCAATAAAGATAGGGAATCACATAAAGAGCTATAGGGGCAAGTTATGTCATTCTATTCGGAAAGCATGTATGCCTGCATGAGACCAGCATGTATTAATGCAAAGCTATATTTCCTATAAGACAAAAATAGTTGACAAAGCAACATCCATGGCCCCACAGATGAAGTGTATATATATAGGCCCTTCCACCCCAAACACCAGAATCACACCAATTGCACAAAGAATTTAGTAAATCACAGTTGCAGGCCTTTCTGTTTTCCAGGAGGTTAGTTGTTTTCTGCCTTTTAAATGTCTGTGTTCTTCAGAAATTATCATAGGCTTTAATGAAAAATCTGGGCTGATTTCATTTTCCCCCCCTGCTCTGTGGAATATAGTTGAAAAATGAGCTGGTCTGGAGGAGATTGGATGTGTGCAGCATGCCAACACCAGAACTTTAAGAAGAGAGAGGCCTGCCAACGCTGCGGGTACCCGAAGTACGGCGGTCCCGATGTGTCGACTTACTTGTACAGCCGGACCGAAGTTATGGCCGGCGACTGGTATTGTACTGCCCTGAGCTGTGGTGCTCACAACTATGCTAGCCGAACAAACTGTTATCGATGCGGTACCGTTAAGAACGATTACGGAGGTTATGGTATGATGGGGTCCGAAAGCAGTGTTCCCCCAGGGTGGAAAACTGGTGATTGGATGTGTACTAGGTGAGTTTTGCAACAAACAAGCTGCATTGCCTCTGTTGATGAATCCCTTTATATTTTCCTTCATTTTCCCACTTCCCAAACATTAATCATGGCTGCAACTTTTGTTTACACAGATATGGGTGTGGAGTTCACAACTATGCAAGCAGGCTGGAGTGCTTCAAATGCAAGACACCAAGGGACTTTGGTAAGAAAATCTTGGCAATTAATGAAGAAACTCCAACATAATCCCATTGTTCCTGACATTTTCTTCTTAATTTGTATGAATTTTCAGGGGATGCCTAGGAATTGATGACAAGAACACTGTCTGCAATGTCACTGAGTCAGTTTTTTCCCATGCAACTGAGCACTAATCATTCAAAAGAAGGGTTTCTGGGTACATGAAAGCTTTGTTTCATAAAAAAATTCAATGGAAAATACTATGTTTTCATGTGTTTCTTTTCTTCTTCTTCTTTTGGAGCAATAATTTAAGATCACTTTAAGCATCGAATACGTCGAACTATAAACAAACGAGTATGAAGATAAGAACCAGATGCTCTTTACTTTTAAATGCATAGATATCCAATCATCTTCTTCCTTTTGACATTCGTTTCATGTCAGATTCACTCCATTTCACTCATTGATAAAAATATGGGAGGTTTTTTTATTAAAAATATATAAAAAAAATTATGAAGATCCATAGCTGTAGCTGCTGCAGCTGTGAGAGTCACTGTTTCATCAGGTGAAACGAACATTAACAGCGGAGCTCACAACTGAAGCAAGATGATCACGTTCGGCTCCCATGGCTTCAGCAGCCTCCACGCATAGCGCAGATGCTGACATGTGCGACCGGTGCCACGGCCGTGTCGAGTTTCTTCGACTGTTCTTTGTATCCTAAGATGAAAGAAGAAGAAGATCAGGAGGCTGCGGCGGCGGCCGCTGCTATGGTGGAGGCAACTGCGTCAACTGATATAGCAGCGTGGAGCTGCGCATTGTGTAACCACTATAACTTAATTAAAAATTATAATTAGTACTTAAATTATCAATATTATTTTAAGTACGATTTTTTTAGTTAAGTTATCAAAATTACTTTAGTATTAAATGTCAACTCGTGCGTGACATAGAGCATATTAAAATTTTTGGGTAAATGATCCTCTTACCATATCATATAGTAATGTTTTGTTAAGTTCAATTATTAAAAAGTTATAAAATAATTCTTTGACTACATATTGTTGTTTTGTTGAGTTTTTCGACTATTAAAAGTTATAAAATGATCACTCGAGTATTCACATATTTCAAACTCGTATTTTTTTCGTTAAAAATTGACGACAGTCTAAGCTAAACGTTAACCTACTGGTTGTGATATGATTAAATCTTATCTAAAAATCTCAAACGACTATCATATCTTAATCATAATGTTAACGTTCAGCTTAAACAACTGTTAATTTTTAACGGAAAAAGATGGGTTTAGAACATAACGAATAGTTAAGTGATCATTTTATAACTTTTAATAGTTAAGGGACTCAACAAAGTAACACTCTACAGTAAAAGGATTATTTTGTACTTTTTAATAGTCGAAGGACTTAACAAAGCATACCTTATAATCGATAGACCATATGTGTATTTTACCCTAAATTACTAAATTATTTCGATAGTTAAATGAATTGTTGTTATTTCTAGAAGTTTTAGACTTGCATCAGCGAATACAACATTGGTGATTGAATGCTTATTGTCAAATGGTTGAAAATATATCAAAATCAAATTGACATGTTTAAGTATGCGTTTTGAATATGCTTCGTAACATATCTAAATTAACATTTAACATTTAATAAATTAATAATTTATTAAACAAACATAATAATGTATTTTTGAAATGCTACGAGTATTTTAATAATTAAATTAAAATATTTTAAGATTTATATTCTAATTTAAAATTTGACTCATAATTTAAGAATGATTGGAACAATTGGCATAGTTTGGGGCTGAATTTTCATTAATTTTAGAATAATTATTAATATTTAATTTATTAATTAATTAATTTGAATTAAATATTGCAGAATTAAGAACGATTCTGTTTACTCAATTTTCATTTAAGCTTTGAAAAGACAGACTTGACTCTCGAGTTTGGGCTTTGATAGAATAGAAGCAGTTTGAAAGGGGAAAATACGTGGCACCAAATAATTAGTGATCACCTTAAGATACGAACTACCCCAAGCACCGGATCATTCCTCCTTCCTGCAAACTGGAAATTTTTCGAAGCTATTTACGCAGTATATATAAAATTCTAAAACCCTACCCTCGTAAAAGATTCGGCATTTTGTTCTTTGATTGCAGTGCTGAAAAGATTGAAAATGGCCGCTACCTTCTTTAGGAGACTCTCCACAGCTGCCCCTGCTGCTTTCAACAATGCATTCGTAGGTCAACCCAAGTCCGGTTTTGCTGGATTTCGCTGCGCAGCCATCGCCGCCGTTGCCGGTGGGATGGGCACTTACTACTTCTCCGAGTCAAATTTGGTGAGTTTTTCAGTAAATCGAAGGGATTGGGAATACCACCTTTGATCTCTATTGCAGTGCGGGATGATTGGGAATCGAAGGGATTCTGATTATCGAAATTACTTGTACTTGCGTTTCGATGTGCTATGTAAATGGTGAAATGTATAGGTAGGATTTTTTTCACTTGTATTATATGGAGGTTTTGATGTATAAATGAATGTTGGATGTTGATACTTATTATGAGCTTTGAATTTTCAATCAGAAAAGGTTACCTAGGTGATTTGGTCTTCTTGATGAAATTTGATGTTTAAAAGCTTACCTATTTGTATGTGGCCTGTATATATGAGCTCTTTTGAGTTTTTAGCATTTTCGTGTTACCACTTTTTGATGCACTCTGTACATTCCAAATTGAGTAATTATTTTGTTATTTTTTCTGAATACAGGTTCATCTAGATCAAATCAATGAAGAAACGGATCCAAAAATTGGTGAGCATAATTGTAGTAGACTATATAATTATTAGATGACTGAATTCCACAACTTAGTTGAACTGTTTACCTCATGAACCACATGCCCTCAGCCCTCCCCCCAGGGAGAATATTAGTCGATCATGATGCTAAAAGTGGTTGCAGAGACGATAAAGTATTTGCTTCAGTTTCTTTTTATCCTTTTTATGTTGTATTTAACTTGGAATATTTGTTTTGGGATTTGCAGCTTTGAAGCCTGATAAGTGGCTTGAATTTAAGTTGCAAGATACTGCAAGAGTTAGTCATAACACTCACTTGTTCAGGTAGCTGTCTTTTAATTAACAGTTTCGTATATGGATTGATTTATGCTATAATAGTGACATGGTCATTTGTGTGAACCTTTTTATGAACAAAAATAGATAAAATTTAAGTTTTAACCCTCTGTTTGCAGTTAAATATCTATGGGATCTCTCTCATTGAATTTTTTCTAGACCAAGAAAACTACTGTTTCCTGCTTATTGAGAGCAAATATATATATATATATATGACACTATCTTGAAAAGAGAAATTGTTCATCCAAATTTAAATTCAGCATCACAACTTAAACTTTTGCATTGTTAAATTCCTCATCCAGCAGTCCTGGAACATGTACCTTTGTCATTATCTTTCTTAAAAAATTGGCAGGTTTTCTTTTGATCCCAATGAAAAGTTGGGTTTGGATGTTGCTTCGTGCATCCTTACAAGGTATGTTCTAATATAAGCAGAGGTGCTTTATTGCTTACGAGAAACCTTATTTTTGTGAGAGATTTTGAATCTTGCTTTTACTAAATGAGATTAAGAAGTAGTCCGCCTCTACATTCACTATGATGATGTATTATTGTTGATGCAGGGCTCCATTAGGACAAGATGCTGAAGGAAAAACCAAATATGTCATAAGACCGTAAGCCTACTTTTTAAACTCATAGTGGTTTGACTTGGACCTCCCTTTTCAAAGATGTTATTCTAAATCGGTGATTTGTTATTAATTTAAATTTTTTAGGTTATTTTACTTGTATTCCATGGTGCAATTTCATTTTCTTACTTCTTTCAGTTTACTTTTGTTATTGTGGCAAATATCCTTTTCCTGTGAGAGAAAACTTCTAAATAAGGTCTTGAAGAAGATTGAAATAGATTAAAGTTTCTAATCAGTAACATTTATAACAGTATACATAATTTTTTTTTTTGAAAATAAAGGGGGCCCTTATTAAAATACCCCAAATCCTGGGATTATTGCATCTGTTTTTTAAACTAAAATTACCTTTATGATTGCTTAACTTCAAGTATTCATGTAATGGATGTTACAACTTATCTGGAGTTTTATCAAAGTAATCCTTTTAATCAACAAAGGAAATAGCTGAAAACTTTTAAATTGGGTAGGTGGAGAAGCTTGGGTGTAGTGCAAGCCTAGCATGGTTTAAAATTAAAATTTCTTATGGCATTCTAAACAAAACTAAACCTGGTATGCCTATTTCTTCACCAAATTCATTGATGCAGAAGACAAAAGATTAAGTTGACTATTTTTGCATACAAAATTATGTTTCAACCTACTTGTTCTGCTATTTAATAGATATTGATTCATAAATATGGTTTACAATAACTTGAATTATCAGGTATACTCCTATATCAGACCCAGATGCTAAGGGCTACTTTGACTTGTTAGTCAAGGTATGAAGTGATAAATGCCTTAACATCTTTTTCCTCTTTCATTCTTACACTTTAGAGGTGTACAAGCCTCATGTATGCAATGGCACACATTGAATTGTGTTTCACAACTTAAAATAAAATTTGCAGGTTTATCCAGAAGGAAAAATGAGTCAGCATTTTGCTAGCTTAAAACCAGGCGATGTAGTTGAAGTGAAAGGGTACGTCTCCATATATTATAGTTTTTATAGAGATCTCGCTGAAAACCATCTTACACTGAATATTTTTATCACTTGCAGGCCCATTGAAAAGCTCAGATACTCTCCTAATATGAAGAAACACATTGGCATGGTTAGATCTAGTTTTCTAGTTTCCTGTTTACTTTTTTCCCCACAGAAAAAGAAGCAGCAAAAACCCCTATTGAATCGATACACTTTATGCTGAAAGATTCAATTTTTCGAAATACGTTTTATATATTGTATACTTTTCTTTTTAACCTGAAGTCAACTAAATAGCTAATGGTATGTCTTGTGTTCTTTACAATTAATATAAAATTCATCCAATGCCTAATTCTGTGTTCTCTACAATTATCACTTGTGCACATGTGATTTCTGCATGTTTAGTCAAATCATCTGCTAAGTAATCCGAATAGTTATCATTACTATTGTATCATATTTTCCAAGGTTATTGAAGAAGTATGATCTTCGTTTGCACTCAATTATGTGCTGTTGTTCCAGATTGCAGGTGGGACGGGCATAACTCCAATGCTTCAGGTGATTGAGGCTATACTGAAGAACCCTGATGACAAAACTCAGGTAAGCTTATCTGATTTGTAAATTTGTGACCATAACTTTCGGCTTTGTGTCGAATGCCATTTGTTTAATGCTTGTTTTGGATAATATATGAGCGTGGTTTGTACTTTTATTCAATCAGGTGTCACTTCTTTATGCCAATGTCTCCCCTGATGATATACTTCTCAAGCAGAAGCTTGATATACTTGCTGCTAGCCACCCAAATCTTAAGGTATGAACTCTTTCATGATGAAATAGTTTCTCTATGGATAAATGTTTTGTTCAAATAGTAACTTCTTTCCTTTTACTTCTCTCTTCTCTCCATTTTTCATTCTTCCCAGGTATTCTACACTGTAGACAATCCAACAAAAACTTGGAAAGGAGGTGCTGGGTACATTTCAAAGATATGGTCACAAAAGGCTTACCCTCTCCTGCTGAAGATACTCTCATCCTTGTAAGTTTCTCGACCTTTTTTCTTTTATTCTGTTTGCCAAAGGCATGGAGTTTTATATGAAGTGGAGGCAACCTTTTTTCTTTAACACTGCTTCGTCCTCAAAAAATTGTAAATACATTTCTGTTCCCTTTTGCCGTTCTTGCACAATCTTGGCAAAGTACTGATATCCATATTCAGCAACGAGAAGCCTTGTTTTTTTTACTCCTTTTGTAAAGATAGAAAAATAATAATAATAAAACACCCCCCAAACGTGCACTCAAGCTTTTATTTAAGTGGCTCGACCTGTGCTCGACACTTTTGTTGTTGAAAACCTGGTCATAGCTTTGGAAAATGGCCATAATCCCAGGATTTCATTTTGCAAGTTTAAAGCACCCACTTAAACAATCCAACTGATCAACATTCAATAGATCCACTGACCTGTGACTTCCCTATGGTTTCCCGTGTTTGTGCAGGTATGCGGTCCACCCGGTATGATGGAACACATATCCGGTGGTAAGGCTGAAGACTATTCGCAAGGAGAGGTAATAAACGCTTGTTTTTTTTTTTTTTTACTCCATTCCTAATTCTTATCCTAATTTTGGTATCTAAACTTACCCTCCTTGACATGCAGCTTAGAGGCATACTCAAAGAACTTGGATTCACCGAACAAATGGTTTACAAATTTTGAATGAAGAGGCATTCAAGGATGGTTTTAACATAAGTTTTGTGCAATAAATTGTTTG